ACCCCCCGCCCGTCCGCTCCCGCCGCTCTGGAAAACCCGGCGCCGAAGCGGAGCTCTTGCTGCCAAGCAGGGCCGAGCGCAGGGGCTGCCCCAACTCGCGAAGCCGCTCAGCTCCGCCGCTCTGGAGCTGCTGCAGCGGCGCCCGCTGTCGGGGGTGGAGCGGAGTTGCAGCCCGCGCCGCACGCACCTGGCAGCCCGCACCTGCGTCGGACCCGGGCGGTGCGAGGCGGGGCAGGGCGGGGCCGAGGCACCTGAGCGCGTCCCAAGGGCGCCCCCGCCCGGCTCACCTGTTCTCAGCGCCGCGGAAGGTGCAGACGGTGATTGGCCTGAGGAAGAGGAAACCTACAAATTCCAGGCACTTTAGCTGCCGCCAAGGAAACTGGAAGATTGGCTCAGCGATGCAGAGGCTCCTTCGGTCAATTCCGAGGGCTGGCTGGGTCTGGAAACTTAAGGGGCGTCAGGATTGTCTTAGGGATTCCTGGTCTGCACTCGTTTACACGATAGCTTTTGAATCTCTCGCTGACGTGTGTAGCTGGCGCCCTCTAAATTAAAACGGGTTACCGCGGTTGTCAGAGATGTTACTGACCGCGTCATTTTTATTGATTCAACATTTACACCACATTCTGTATTTAGAGTGTTTTGTGATTATTCTTATCTGAAACACCACAAAAGTACTTTCAAGAAAAATTAGCTCTGCAGATATTCATGGGGAAAGAAGAAAAAAAGTTGAAGACATAAAATGAGAAAAAGTAACTTAAATTGAGGACATTCTTTCATGTGGGAGCCTTGAAATTTGGTGTATAACGATTCAGAAAGCTGCAAGTGGAAATAGAACAAGATTATTGGTGCTATACGGTGACCACAGGATTGGTGTGCAATATCAATATTATTAACATCAAGAATAAATTCAAAATTTACTCTTGAGTTGCATTCTGTCTCTTGTGGGGGTGGGGGGAAGGAGGGAGATTTGAAATAAAATACCTAAAAGTTTCTAAGGATGGACAACCTGAACTGTCTTCATCCATGTGGATGTAGAGGTTGAAATTTAAGGTCTCCTTCCCACCATTCTATATTGATTAAAGGATGTTATTCTTTCTTTCATCCAATAAACAATTAGTACCTGCCCTGTGTTCGCCTCTCTGCTAAGCACTAGAAATGCACGAAGAGTAAATCTTAAATGTTATCCACACACACACAAATGGTAATTACGTGAGCAGATTAAAGTGTTAACTAACCTTATTGTGGTAATCGTTTGGCAGCATATACATGGCTCAAATCATCACATAGAACATCTTAAACTTCAATAATATCTCAATGAAGCTGAGGGGAAAACATGAAATCATATATTTATATATATTTATTTATATCGATATATGTGTTATATGGGATTTCTAATGTTATAATTTCTTAAATACATATGGAAAATATATGATTTATTATTTGATATAAAATACTTGATTACATATGTACATACATGTGTACATGTGTCATACATATATACATTGTATATTTTTGATGATATATAATTTATTTATATAATGATAAAAATAATTTAATAAAGACAGGCCACAGTTTTTGCTGGCATGGTCAATAAATTGGTTTATGTACTGAGGAACTGAGCAAACAAGTAAATATATTAAGGGTATTGAGAGGCAGGCTTCACATGGAGGAGGAAATTACAGATATAGGAAGAGGAAAGATTAGAATAAACCCAGTGATAGGGCTTGAAATTAGAAGTGATGATATGAAATGATTTCTAACAGATAAATCGATAGAAAAAAATATATGTACATATGTATGTATATACGTGAAATGATTTCTAACAGATAAATCGATAGAAAAAATATATGTACATATGTATGTATGTATATACATTGATATATTTCCTAGCTCTGTGCACTGAGAAAGCCTAAAAGCAATAGATCAGTGTTGTCTCCCATTAAATCCTGGTGGGGGAAAAAAAAAAAACAGATTTCCTGGTTAGATATTTTAGAAAAGAGTCTTTCTCAAAGGATGGCTTGAAGACCACTGCACCTGCATTATCTGGGGGTATTTATTACAACTTAGCGATACAGATTCTCAAGCCCCATTGCATACATGTTGAATTGCAATTCCTAGTGATGGGACCCCATGTATGGTTCCCACACATGGAAAGCAAAGAGAGACCAAAGAAAAAGGCAGGGCACTCCAGATCAGGAGATGGCAGGTTTGTTGAGCAAGGGAACTTAACAGGGGAGCAGATCTCCACACCCGCCCATCAGAATCTTTAAAGTGTATGTGGAGGCCACCTAGATTTTAGTCACAGATGGTCTCAACAATACCTTACTCTCTAAAGGTTGCAACCTTAGAACATTGTGGGAACAGGAGGCAGAAAGGAGGGATGAGGAGGCTCTGATTGTCTGGGTCCCGCTTTTGGGGGGAGGAGTGTCAACAGGCGGTCATGTCCTTTCGATGACCTCCTCCAAAAGTTTGTGACCAACCCACAACCCGTGGGGTGCTTTCTTCATAGAATGCCCAGCATTTCTGTTACTAATTGCATAATCTCCTTCTCAGGAGGGGTCTATGGCAGGCATGCTGATTACAATGCGAAGTGGATTTTTCTCTTTCCAGTATGATGACAGTTTAGCACTTGATCTGCAGCTTTGAGATTCATGTGTCTGGGAATGGTTGTGTTTACATCATGGTGCTGGAATGGTAATGTTTTGAAACTCAGAAGTAATGTTATGTCAGAGTGGAATGTGTATTTACAAAGTCTCCGTGCTTGATAATCAGGATGTGGGGATGTGTATACGTACAATTAATGCATAAGGGAGAAGATTCACAACAACCGTAACAAGTTTTTAAAAAATTACGCCAGCCACAAAATAACCTTGGGATTCTTTTCACATCAATCATCTATCTGCACCAAGCTTCTTCATCAGATCACCTCCTAGGCACTATTTTAGGCACCACCTTCCAGGATCTCATGGTCAGAATTATCACTGAATAGGCAGCTGTTTGTGTGATGTGACTTCCGGTGTTGGACAAGTCCCCTCAACCAAAAATATCTTTTTCTTACC